GTTTCCAAGCCTCTGAATTTTGATTGCGTGACTAGAGGAATGCTGCATCGGTCGTTAAGCGTGAAAAACAATCCTAAGCCGTTGCAATTTTGAATAGCCACTCAACCAATGAAGGACTATATGCAATGGGGAATCTTCTCCCATGCCCAGGACTTATATTTCCCCTTTTCCTCTGCCCCCCAATCTCTTGACAGGGGTGAACACGAAGGGAGCCGACGGATGAAAACCGAATTATTGGTGCAGATGGACGGCCTGGCCCGATCCGATGACCTTGTCTTTGTTTTAGCAGCTTCCAACTTACCCTGGTAAGGGAGCCGGAGAATCTGTTTTGAATACCTCTGCATGAGCCTCTAAACACAGATAAAGATTTTACTTACTCGGAGGAGCAAAAGCCAGGATATTTGGCTAAAGCCTTCCAAGATTAATTGGAAGCTTTGGGCTTCTTTGTTACTATTATCATCATTATTACTGATGTTTTTGCTTCTGCTTCGGTTCTTGCCGTCTCCACCGCAAAGTAGGTAATCCTCCAGAAGATCAGCAGATGCCAAGAGCAAATGCCAGCTGCTGGTATTTAAAAAGCAACTTGATGGCCAAGTTATTTACTATAGGCTAAGCTAAAGAAGGATTCTCAGCGGAGAAACTCCTAAGGTGCTTAAATCATCCGGCGCTCGGAAAAAAAAATAGATCTTCTCTAAAAATAGGGAGAGTTTGGGGTTTTATTGCAATTAGGAGTGCTAAAGTTTCAGCATGAAAATCCCTCCCTTTTTTTTTTTTTTTAATGTGAAGATCCAGTGGGGATCAAAATAGGCTGCGATTAAAAAAGAAGAAGTGGTTTTTGTACAAAAGTAAGCAAGGACCACAAAATCCTTGTTTTAAGGATCACGGCGCAACACACTTTACATGCTAGTGGGCTATATTATTCCTCACAAATGTGTGAATTGACAGAAATTGATATCGGGGTTTTTTTCCCCCCACCCCAAGATCTGTGTGAATTGAGAGAAATTTGTGCAATTGGTATAATGACTTTGCCTGCCCAAAATGAAGTTGTGCTGACACTCGCGACGTCATTTGTGTGGTGATACAAATTGCTCCTTCGCTCTCCAGTTTGATAGTCAATCTTGAATAAATAATGTTTTCCTAGCCTCCTCCTTAATTAGCCCGTTAAATCAAAGTTTTACTATCAGGTTAAGCGGGTGGATGGGCTGTGAATTGGAAGAGTGGACTTCTCGTGTTCCTCTTTTTTGTGGGGTTCGAATAGAATAGAGCTGGAAGGGACCTTGGAGGTCTCCTAGTCCAGCCCCCTGCTTAAGCAGGAGGACCTATGCCAGGGGTAGGCAACCCAAAACACTCAAAGAGCCACTTGGACCCGTTTCCCACCAAAAACAAAACACTGGGAGCTGCAAAACCCTTTTGATATCTAAAATGAAGATAACACTGCATATATCCTTTTTTACCACTATCTTTTTTACTTACACACACACACACACACACACACATATCATAAAGATAAAAAAGGATATATACAGTGTTATCTTCATTTTAGATGTCAAAAGGGTCTCTCTCTGTCTCTCTCTCCCCCCTCTCTCCCTCTCCCTCTCTCTGCCCTTGGTCTGCCAGTCCTCTTCCCCCACTCTCTCTCTCTCTCCTCTTTCTCTCTTTTTCTCTTTCTCTCTCCCTCTTTCTCTTTCCTCTTCCTCTCTCTCTCTTTTTCCTCTCCCTCTTTCTATTTTTCTCTTTCCTCTCTCTCTCTCTTTCTCTCTCTCTCTCTCTCTCTCTCTCTCTCTCTCTCTCTCTCTCTCCTCTTTCTCTCTTTTTCTCTTTCTCTCTCCCTCTTTCTCTTTCCTCTTCCTCTCTCTCTCTTTTTCCTCTCCCTCTTTCTATTTTTCTCTTTCCTCTCTCTCTCTCTTTCTCTCTCTCTCTCTCTCTGCCTCTCTCCGATCTTCTGCTCACCTGGCAAGCTGGCTTCAAGCTGTTCTCCAACAAGCTCAGGGAAAGGCAACCTTGGCTCTTTTATGACTCAAAGACTTCAACTCCCAGAATTCCTGAACCAGCATAGTTGGGCTTGCTAGCTCTCTCCTGCCCTTCCTGCTTCCTGCTTCCTGCAGAGACGCAGCCAAAGGAGAAGCCCCGCCCAGTAAGCTTTTCAGCTCCTTTTTTACTTACACCAGTGGTGGTGAACCTATGGCACGGGTGCCAGAGGTGGCACTCAGAGCCCTCTCTGTGGGCACACGCGCCGTCGCCCCAGTCCTAGGCCTTCAGCTGGGTTTTATAAAACCTTTTCGCTTTAGGCCTCCGCCGCCGAGTGCAAAAAAAAAAGGTTCAATCAATCAGCCAATTTCAACTTCTCGCAGGAAAAAAAAGATCTTGCAAAGTTGGAATTGATTGAACGTTTTAGTCCCACCCAGTCTGCCGTTACCACCGCAGCCACGCCCACCCAATGGGCCACACCCACCCAATCGGCCACACCCACCCGGCACCCGACGATGCATAAGTGGGTTTTGGGTTGCAGTTTGGGCACTCGGTCTCTAAAAGGTTCGCCATCATTGCCCTAGAGCAGGGGTAGGCAACCTTGGCTCTTTTATGACTGGTGGACTTTAACTCCCAGAATTCCCTCTGCCAGCCTGGCTCAGCTTGGAAACCTCTCCCTTTCCCCTCAGCATGGCTGGCTCAGGAATTCTGGGAGTTGAAGTCCACGAGTCATAAAAGAGCCAAGGTTGCCTATCCCTGGTCTGGATCCAACTCCACCAGTGGGTTTTGGGTTGCAGTTTGGGCACTCGGTCTCTAAAAGGTTCGCCATCACTGACTTACACAGAGAGAGAGAGAGAGAGAGAAGGGAAGCTCAAGTGCCTCTGTCTGTCTCTGTCTCTCTCTGCGAATGGCAGAGGAGGCTGGGAGCCGCAAGGGAAGGCTCAAAGAACCACATGTGGCTCCGGAGCTGCAGGTTGCTGACTTGTGACCTATGCCATCTCAGGCAAGTGATTGTCCAGTCTCTTCCTAAAAGCCTAAAGTGATAAGAGCACCCATGATTTCTAGTGGCAACTTCTGTTCCACTGGTTAATTGTTCTGACTGTCAGGAAGTTTCTCCTTAATTCCAGGTTGCTTCTCTCCTTGATCAGTTTTCAACCGTTGTTTCCTCTCCTGCCCTCTGGTGCTTTGGAGAATAGTTTGACCCCCTCTTCTTTGGGGCAGCCCCTCAATTACTGGAAGGCTGCTATTAGAATAGAATGGAATGGAATGGAATGGAATCGAATATAATAGAATTAGAATAGATACTGGAATATAGAATAGAATAGAATAGAATAGAATAGAATAGAAAGGAAGAGGAATGAAATGGAATAAATAGATTAGAATTAGATTAGATTAGAATAGAATAGAATAGAATAGAATAGAATAGAATAGAATAGAATAGAATAGAATAGAATAGATAATATGGAATAGAATAGAATGGAATGGAATGGAAGAGGAATATAATATAATATAATAGAATAGAATAGAATAGAATAGAATAGAATAGAATATAATAGAATAGAATAGAATAGAATAGAATAGAATAGAATAGAAGCTGGAAGGGAGAAGAGAGGACCAAGGAACCAGTGGATGGTGTAATATTGGAACTAGACTGAGAAAGTTAATATGTACCACTGAATTACCAACGGACCCAGACAACACGTTGTTTATTAAGTACTCATGATTGTAAAATTAGAAAATTAATAAAATATGTATTAAAAAGAAAAAAAGAAAAACCTCTCTCCACGGAAGATATCAAAAGGTTGGGGATCTCTGCACACTGGCTGAGGAATTCTGGGAGTTGAAGTCCGCCAGTCATAAAAGGGCCAGGTTTGAAGACCCCTGGTCTGGATCCAAGCCCGCAGTTTCATCAAAATGGCCGACTGAGGAATTCTGGGAGTTGAAGTCCACCAGTCATAAAAGGGCCAAGTCTGAAGACCCCTGGTCTGGATCCAAGCCCGCAGTTTCATCAAAATGGCCGACTGAGGAATTCTGGGAGTTGAAGTCCACCAGTCATAAAAGGGCCAGGTTTGAAGACCCCTGGTCTTAAGGAGCTTTTTTACCCCTTATACTTTGAGGAAAGAGTGCTGAAATGTCTCGCTAACAGAACAATGTCTGCCCTCCTTATTCTCTCCTAGGGAACTGGATTACGCCATGCTGCGCCGGCTGGAGAAGAGGATCTTGGTTGACCTCCCAAACCCAGAGGCACGGCAAGCCATGATCCAGCACTGGCTTCCCCCGGTGAGCAACAGTGGAGGAGTGGAGCTGAGGACAGCGCTGAATTATAATCTGCTCAGCCAGGTGAGAAAGAAGCCCAACCCAGGTTATCCAGGGTTCTCATGAATGACCTTGGTGGAGGAGTCAAGGAATCTATAAGCAGCGTTTCTCAACTTTGGCAACTTTAAAAGGTCTGGACTTCAACTCCCAGAATCCCTTAGCCAGCCAGGTTTGGCTGGCTGGAGAATTCTGGGAGTTGAAGTCCACAATTCTGGGAGTTGAAGTCCAAGGCGCCTGAAGGCAGGACAAGAAGCAACGGGTGGAAACTGATCAAGGAGAGAAGCAACCTAGAACTAAGGAGAAACTTCCTGACAGTGAGAACAATTAACCAGTGGAACAACCTGCCTCCAGAAGCGGTGAATGCTCCAACACTGGAAGTTTTTAAGAAGAGACTGGACAGCCATTTGTCTGAAATGGTATAGGGTTTCCTGCCTGAGCAGGGGGTTGNTGCAAGCCCATCTTTCCGTTCCTGTTTGTGCATTAGGAGATGGAAGGCTATTCGGGGTCCGACGTTAAATTGGTTTGCAAAGAGGCAGCCATGCGCCCTGTGAGGAAAATCTTCAGCGCTCTGGAAAGTCATCAGCCAGGTACTGCAAAAACCCTCTTGGGCCTTTGAGCTGAACAGGTGCTCAGTATCAAGCAACCAGGGATATCTGTTCCTTCCCAGCCTACGTGAGTCCTTGTTAAGCTCACAAGGAGAAACCGCTCTTCCAAGAAACAGGCTGGAACCGCAGGGAAAAAACCAACCTCTTTTATTTTCACAGACCTGTCCAAGGCAAAACAAACACAGTTCATGGAAACTCGATCCTCAACATGAATGGTGGCCTTCGGCAACCAGCACCTCCCATACCTTCCCTTTTATTATGCAGCCAAGGCGTGGCTTCCTAATGCCTTCTCCTTTGCCTTTGGAGCTGCCCCATTGCATTCCTCTGTCCTACTCGCTTCTCTTGCCTGCGCTTTCGTGCATCCGGGATTTGTCCCAGCTGTTCTTCATCACTGTCCAACTCAGGCTCCCAGCACAGCCTGAGCGCGAGTAGAGGGGCCAGGCTCCTCATCTGACTGTAAGTCTTGGAGCTCCTCATAGCCTTCCTCTGACTCTGATGTCCCTCCAGGCCCCTCCTCCTTCTCCTCTGATTCCCCAGACTCAGCTGCCGGATCCACTGGCTGGCGAGGAATCACAACAATATCCTAGCGCAGGGGTCTTCAAACTTGGCCACTTTAAGACTTGTGGATTTCAGCTCCCAGAATTCTGGCTGGCTGAGGAATTCTGGGAGTTGAAGTCCACAAGTCTTAAAGTGGCCAAAGTTTGAAGACGCCTGTCCTAGCCAAGTTAGCTTAGCAAGCTTGGAAGAGTAAATGATCAATGATCAATCTGTACCAGCAGATGGCAGCATTTTGTTTCTTTCCAATTAGATTTATTTAGGATTTGGGAACTCGCTTCCCATTTAGTCACTGATATAAAATTAGCAGCCTTTCTTAGACCATAGAAACCTTCTCGCCAGAAAGAACTTTTGAAACCCTTAGTCAGGTATTTTGGGCGAGTCTGGGCTCCCTAAAACTTGCAGGTAGGACAATGGGTAGCACAGATCGGAAGGTACAACTTTGGGGAATGAGATAAGAAATAAAAGGATGCCCACACAGAGTGAGAATAAGCTACCATAGTAGGACAAGCTGGAGGAACCAGAACAGGGCTCAGGGTATGGAGGTGTCGTTCGGAGGCATCCCTTCTAGGATCTCATCAGAGTTTGGGTTACATGCCATTCAATATAGTCTTCTTTTAATGAAGAGAAGGACGAGGGGGGACAGGATAGCAGTCTTCCAGTATCTCAGGGGCTGCCCCAAAGAAGAGGGAGTCAAGCTATTCTCCAAGGCGCCTGAAGGCAGGAGAAGAAGCAACGGGTGGAAACTCATCAAGGAGAGAAGCAACCTAGAACTAAGGAGAAACTTCCTGACCAATTAGAACAATTAACCAGTGGAACCACCTGCCTCCAGAAGCGGTGAATACTCCAACACTGGAAGTTTTTAAGAAGAGACTGGACAGCCATTTGTCTGAAATGGTGTAGAGTTTCCTGCCTGAGCAGGGGGTTGGACTAGATGACCTCCAAGGTCCCTTCCAACTTTATTATTATTATTATTATTATTATTATTATTATTATTATTATTATTATTATTATTATTATTATTATTACTCTATATTTTTTCTATTCTATTCTGTTTTCTTCTGTTCCATTCCGTTCCATTCCATTCCATATTTTCTATTCTATTCTATTCTATTCTATTCTATTCTATTCTATTCTATTCTATTCTACATTCCATTCCATATTTTCTATTCCATTCCATATTTTCTATTCTATTCTATTCTATTCTATTCTATTCTACATTCCATTCCATATTTTCTATTCCATTCCATTCCATTCTTATTGAGATTTGAGTAGTTCATTGACCACTGGGGGACTTACTCTGGATGACATTTAAATTTCTAATTGGAGATCTTCTTTCCTCAGACAGTGGAAACTTACCGGTGATCCACTTGGACACAGTCACAACGGAAGACTTCCTGGATGTCATCTCTCACACCAAGCCCTCCGCCAAGAACCTCAGTCAAAGATACGTTGACTGGCAAAGAGAATTTGAGTCGGTCTGAGCCGGGTTTAAGATCCGAAACGGTCACCCACGTTTTCCACCCAAGACATTTCTAAGAGTTTATTTTTTTTAACACGAGGAGAAGAAATTTGTCTCTTTCCAAGCTGGGTCCTGAGTTTTGACGATGGAGGAGAGGCTGCAAATTGTTTTTTGGGTTATACCCTTTCAGCTGCTAAGCCTTACATTCCTACACGGGTTGGAAAAACACGTTAGCACTTTTGAACACTTTTTAATTTTTTTACAATGTAAAAATGGCCGGTGGCTTTTATTCTTGCCTGCCCTAGGAGCCCTCTGGGCTCTATTTTGCTGACTTCATATTTGCCGCTATAATTTTCTTCCTGGCTGGGACAGGCGGTAGGAAATGACCGAGAGGGCCACTAATTGGGTCTCCCCAGGCACCCTTGTATTAAGCGAGTCGATTTTGAGAAAGGCCGGCATCCGTGAAGAATAAACCAATTTGGGAATCTCGGAGATGTCTTTCAGAGGCTTCCTTCTAGGGACTTACACTTCCCTTAGTCATCTGAGGACTGAAAAGAGGCACTTTGGAGATTTTTCGGGAAGACACTTGGAAAATGTAGCAGGTTTTGTGTAATTGTTGTTGTCAGTTGCGAAGTCGTGTCCGACCCATCGCGACCCCATGGACCACGTTCCTCCAGGCCTTCCTGTCCTCTACCATCTTCCGGAGTCCATTGAAGCTCACGCCTCCTGCTTCAGTGTCTTCATCCAGCCACCTCCTTCTCTGTCGTCCCCTTCTTCTTCTCTTGCCCTCCATCTTTCCCAGCATCAGGCTCTTCTCCAGGGAGTCCTTCCTTCTCATTAGGTGGCCAAAGGACTTGAGTTTCAACTTCAGGATCCGGCCTTCTAAAGAGCAGTCGGGGTTGATCTCCTCCAGGACTGACCGGTTGGATGGCCTTGCAGTCCGGGGGACTCGCAGGAGTCTTCTCCAGCACCAGAGTTCAAAGGCCTCCATTCTTTGGCGCTCTTTGTGTAATATACCTGGTGAATCCCCGGATTTAAACAGGTAAACTGCCAGGAAAGGAAGCATTTATCTTTTGTCCTACAATGTCTTCCATTCCCATTCCGTGTTCCTTTGGGAGGAACCATTACAGGTAATATTCGTCTTAACAACCATTCCTTTAGTGACTATTCAAAGTTACAATGGCACTAATAAAAGCAACTTATGATCCTTTTTCACACCACCATTGCAGCTTCCACCAAGATGGCGTGATCAAAATTTTGGACAATTGGCAAAACTGGGTTCCTATTTACGACGGTCGCAGCGTCCCCCGGGGGGGTGGGTTACACGATCCCCTTTTGCAGCCTTCTGACAAACAAACCTAAAGGGGAAGGCGGATTCGCGTAACAAATTGTGTTACGAACTTAACCACTTGCAACGAGTCACTTAAAGCTGTGGCGAGAAGGGTGGTAAGATGGGGAAAATCTCCCTCAAGAACTGTCTCGCTTAGCAACGGAAATATTGGGTCTTAAGTCAAGGACTACCTGTAGCAAGGTTACCAGCATCAAGTTTCTGGGTGTACAGCTAATGAGTAGGCTGGCTTGGTCGCTCAACAGCGAGACCCTGGTGAAGCGGGCACAGCAGCGCCTGCATTTTCTGCGTCGCATGAGAAAAGCACATCTTCCTTCCCCTGTCCTCACCACTTTCTACAGAGGGACAATCAAGAGCATCCTGTCATACAGCATCACGGTCTGGTTTGGAGGCATCCCTGCTTCAGACAGGAAGGCGGTGCAGAGAGTGGTGAGGACAGCAGAAAAGATTATCGGCAGTTCCCTCCCTCCCATCCAGGACGTGGCATATAATCTACTTTTTTCACTAGGGAACATCATCAGTGCTACAAGGGAGAGGGGTTTGCAGATAGGAGGGGGAGGAGGACTGTGGGGTCCTTGGTTCTCTCTGAGCTTGGTGATTTTCTTGCAGATGTTTCATGACCCAACTAGGTAACATCATCTGTGCTAGTAAGGAGTGGTGATTGTGGGAGGAGGAGGACTGTGGAGTCCTTGGTTTTTTTGCAGACGTTTCATGACCCAACTAGGTAACATCTTCAGTTCTAGCAGGGAATGGAGTTTGGAGGGAGGGAAAAGGACTGTGGAGTCCCTGGTGCTCTCTGAGCTTGGTAGTTTTCTTGCAGATGTTTCATGACCCAACTAGGTAACATCATCAGTGCTAGAAGGGCAAGGAGGAGGAGGAAAAGGAGAATCAATAGATTTATTGGCTACCCATCTCGCAGTTCAAGCTGACTCTGAGCAGCATGCATGGGCGAGTCACTCATCTCCTTCCTTACTCAATCTCGCACATCCTCTCTCTGTCCTTGGGGACCAAGCAACGCAGACGGGAACGTGGGGCACAGACTCCTGTTGCGTAGGATAACTTTTAGGGTGTGAGAAGCAATTGTACACAGAGAACTTTCATTCCACCACAGTCCCCAAAACAGTCCTGCAAAAACAACAACAAAAAAATGCACCAAGCGAGTCGGAACGCTGTGCAAAGGACGCCGTTGGTCCATTCCGTTTGGTGGCCCTGGAAGGTGTGTCGTTCAAAAGTTGTGGTGCTTCTTCAGAGCAGATGCTGCAGGATGTGTTCCACGGCATGGGGGAAACTCTCGCAGGTTAAGTAGGGCGGAGGGTCAATTTTGCCTTCATCGGCGTCTCGGTATTTCCCTGCAACGGCAACACCAAAAACAGAAATAAATGCTGATTTTCTACAATTAGGTCAGCAGTAGTATCGAGCTTGGCCAGAGATCAACGTTGGCACGGCAAATTTCCAACAACCCCTTTGTCGGTCTGCCCTTTTCCCGTGTTCTCACTGGCGCGTTCAGTTTTAGTTTCAGTTTCAGTTTTGCTAAAGTAATCCAGGGCAGAAGTCTCCAACCTTTTTGGTTTGGCGGCCCGGAAAGGGAGACAGTCACCGCTACGTGCGCGCACGCAAATGGGCCGGGCGTGTGCATGTGAAAAAATGACCCCCCCATGCGTGGCCACAACTGGGCCGCACGCAAGCGCATGCGCACACGCAAACGGTAGCACGCAAGCACATGCACACGTGCAAATGGGGCTGCATGGGCGCGAGTGCTACAAATGGGGCGGTGCTAGTACCAGTGGGATGCTCTGGGGCAGCACTAGTGCCGCTAGGAAACTCAGAGGCGGGCCGGCGCTAGCACTGGTGGGACGCTCTGGGGCAGGGTGGTGCTAGCGCTGGCGGGATGCTCAGGCCAGCGCTAGCACCAGTGGGGTGCTGAGGCAGGGTGGTGCTAGCGCTGGTGGGATGCTCGGGGCAGTGGGGTTTTGCGAACAAAAACTTTTCATGTAGCAATCCGCGGGGGAAGTCTTCGGATCTTGCTTTGCTCTCCTGCCATCACTAACTCTCAATAAAAGCTCCTGTTTGAAACGATGCCTGTTTGAAGAGTTCTGCTTTCTGGGGAGGAGGAGTTGAGGCAGGACCTTACGACAAGTGGACTTCAACTCCCAGAATTCCCCGCCCACCTTAAAATTGCTGAGGTTGAGGAACACCGAGCGGGATGCCACAGCAGTTCAGCTACTATTTGAGTAGCCGTGTGAGAGAACCTCCTTGTCCTATATTTGGATAGCCAAGTTGAGGTGGGAGAAACCTGCAGGAGAAGTTAACCCAGGTGAGAACAGCAGCAAGGGGTTAAAGCTAGAGTGCAAAGGTCACTGAGAAAGGGAAGAGGCCAACTGCCATGGAGGTCTTTGATGGAAAGATGAGTGTGGCCACTCTATTTCAGTTATTGGTTGGCATAGATGATCTCCAAGGTCCTTTCAGAATGTCTCTGCAATTCATCCATGACTAGATGAATCTCTAGATACAGGAGTAGGTGACCTTGGCTCTTTTATGACTCGTGGACTTCAACTCCCAGAATTCCTGAGCCAGCATGGGGGAACTATGGCCCCTTCATGACTGGTGGACTTCAACTCCCAGAATTCCTGAGCCAGCATGCTCAGCTTGGAAACCTCTCCCTTTCCCTTCAGAATGGCTGGCTCAGGAATTCTGGGAGTTGAAGTCCACCAGTCATAAAAGAGCCAAGGTTGCCTACACCTGCCCAAATGCCCGAATTTTGATCATGTGACTGTGAGGAAAAAATATTTAAATATTTAAACCAAGGGACTTCAAACTTGGCCCTTTTATGACTGGTGGACTTTAACTCCCAGAATTCCTGAGCCAGCATGGGGGAATTATGTCCCCTTCATGACTGATGGACTTCAACTCCCAGAATTCCTGAGCCAGCATGGGGGAAACTTTGGCCCCTTCATGATTCCTGGACTTCAACTCCCAGAATTCCTGAGCCAGCATGGGGGAACTATGGCCCCCTCATGACTCGTGGACTTCAACTCCCAGAATTCCTGAGCCAGCATGGGGGAACTATGGCCCCTTCATGACTCGGGGACTTCAACTCCCAGAATTCCTGACCCAACATGAGGGAAACTTTGGCCCCTTCATGACTCGTGGACTTCAACTCCCAGAATTCCTGAGCCAGCATGGCCCAGCTTGGAAACCTCTCCCTTTTCCCTCAGCATGGCTGGCTCAGGCATTCTTGGAGTTGAAGTCCACGAGTCATAAAAGAGCCAAGGTTGCCTACCCCTGGCCTAGGCCTAAGTCCCTTCATGACTCGTGGACTTCAACTCCCAGAATTCCTCAGCCAGCATGGCTCAGCTTGGAAACCTCTCCCTTTCCCCTCAGCATAGCTGGCTCAGGAATTCTGGGAGTTGAAGTCCACGAGTCATAAAACAGCCAAGGTTGCCTATACCTCTGTTCTAGATGAAGCACCTTCCTGCTTGTCTCTTTTTCCTCCTAAGGGGAAATGTTCTAATTCCTGAATCATGGATATTTTTACGTAAGGAAATAAACACCATCGTAATTTCAAGTTTAGTTATTTTAGCGCCCTGATGGCCTTACTCACCAGTCTTCACCAGTATTCCCAGCATGCCGGCGTTCTGGGCGCCCCCGACGTCATCCCGGCAGTCCTGGAAAATCAAGGGAAATGCAAATAAATCTGCAACTCGCAAATAGGTTGTGAAAGCTCTTAAAAAACAGGGACGTGTTTTTAACAAACTCTATTTTCAGAACAATTTTGTCTACCTATCGAGTCCTTACCCAGGACTTGGGATAGGCAGATGTGGATGTTTGATGGTATTACAGATTATTATTATTAGTATTAGTATTATTAGTATTAATTGTTTAATGTCTTCAGAGTTTGAACTCATGCTGTATTGGGGTCTAAATTAGATCGTTTAAATTTGTTCAAGCGGAATAGTTCACAGAAGCTAAATATATGATGGTTACATTGATTCTTAAATTTATGTATTTTAACTTCCCTATGGATATTCTCGGTGAAGCAGGTTACGGCTTGTCCAAAGGTGCTTTTTTAAAAGGCAACTGGATGTTTCTTTTTCTTGAAGATGTTTCGCTTCCCATCCAAGAAGCTTCTTCAGTTCAAGAGCTTCTTGAATGAGAAGTAAAATGTTAGAACAATTAACCAGTGGAACTACCTGCCTCCAGAAGCTGTGAATGCTCCAACACTGGACGTTTTTAAGAAGAGACTGGA